ACTCCAGAGGCCCTGATAGCCGTAAAAGCTGGCATTATAGGCAGATAGCATTGCCGGCAAGGACAAGAGGGACTGGAATTGCCATTTCTGGCTTATTAGCCATCGTCAGCCAGTCATACTCAGACCCAGGTGGTGCTGCTATAGCTGTCAGGGCCTTTGGCGAGGCCTAAGGCAGAGCGACACAGATAAGTCCCGTTCATCAACGAGCGTCGATATCCCCTGACCTAAACGAGCTCGTCGCGAGTTCGAGGCTCGGGTGGGACACCCCTTGGGTCTGGGTATGACTGGCTGACGATGGCTAACAAAACTAGATATAGCCATTCCAGTCTCCCTTGTCTCTACCGGCAAAACTATCAGTCTAAAGGTGATTAAGGAAATTAAAATTTAGCCCCTGGCTAGCAGACAGACAGGTTTGTGTTTCCCATGGGACATGGGTTGGATGGGTGTTGAAAATGGACGGCAATGAAGCGTCAGACCTGAACAAAAGTAAAACACGTGTTTAGTAGTGTGAGACAGAAGCTTCACCTAGACGTCTACTGAGTGTAAGTGGTGTGGGTCAGTTCATGAACAGAACGCGGTTAATCCTGCGCCATCCTTGTCCATCATAGGATGCAGCGCGCTTTTACCTGTGACGGTGTCCACAGCTTCTGAATTTGAGAGCCAACAGTTGGCAGGGTACTCTATCCTTGGAAGAGCGGCTCAAGTTGCAATGGCCCCCCTCTTCGCGGGCCATTATAAAAAGACTAGTCGATGCGAGATTCGATTTGATGCAGTTTGCTTCATAGACTGTGGACTGATCTCAAGCCTTTCCCACGTTATTTTGACTTCGCTGACCACCGGAAGAGGATGGGTAAAAGAGAGTGAGTTAGATGCTACGCAAGTGCCGCTCACTACAAATTTACCTACACGCAAGCACTGCTTACTGCGGGAGGAAGAGGAGTCGGTGGCCCACATAGACACGCGCGTTTTCAACTACAACCGTCTAAGGAAAAACAGGGGAAGGAAATAACACAAGCATGTCCCGAGAAACGTGGTAAAAGACGAACCCTTACCACACTGAGAGAGTGGAGTTAAGTAGGTGCTTACTTTGTATGCCGTGTAGATGATGCTGCAGACCCTCCACACGAATAGCCACCAGCCGGAGTGGGGTGGGTTCGTAGGAAAGACTACCGTTGATGAGACGGCTGTAGTAGTCAACATAACGCCGCTGACTGGGTATGGTCACACCCTGACCGTTGCGAGTCCGTCGCTCAGCGTAGATGTGCAGTGCGTCCGCGGCATCCTTGGCCTCCTGCATTTCCATGAGACAGGCACACACCATGACACCAGTTCGACCCTAGAAGAGAAGAATAACAGTTAACAACCACAAATCAGTGCCCAGGAAGTATTATTTTCACAACTTCGGGGGCGCGTATTTGCCAGGGTCGGTTCGGCATACAGCTGTATTGGGTCCAGTCGCATGACCAATCTCTAACCAGAAACAACTACACAACACAGACAAAGGCTTTGTAATCATCGGCAGT